CCATACGACTCTAACTCATACCAAGTTTTGATTTGGTCGGTCAGAGAAGTATCGTCCGTGACGCAGTTAAAGGAAGAAGAATTTAAGGACGAACGATCAGGAGACGGACCACTAATGACCCAACCTATCGGAAGTCGGACGGCGCACGGTGAGTCAAGTTCATCTCCGAAGACATGTTCGAGGGGTCTTATCGCATGATAGAAGTCCTGTCCTATAACTATCTCAGTCTCTTTGTAATTATACGCAGTCGTCTTTAACGGGGCTAGTTGCGGGTATTTGACCTGCAATTCGGAAACGTTTATAACATCGGGTCCTATATACATGTTGTGCTTAACGAAAGCGACAAACGAAAACGAAAATTCACTTTCATTGGGCTTTGCGGAAACTTTCAAGTGAACTCGTTGAGTTTTAGATACCTTGGCTGAGTTAAAACCATCGGTCGTAACATTTACGGGCGTGCCAACTAATTTCAGACGTTCAACGAGTGCCGCGGAAACCCAAGAATGAGTGGAACCGGTGTCACAAAATGCTAGTGCATTCGAATTTTTCTGAACCAGAGGACACATCTACCAACGCAACGGGAAGAATGCCTTTTGCAGTTCCCTCACAAGGTTTAACACAAGCTGCGTTGTTTGCAGAAGTAGTGTTTGTATTAGTTTGAGTCGATGGTGATCGGTCGGCCCCTTTGGGCGGGAAAACTTTCTCGGCTCCATGAAGAAGCACATTGTGAGTGCTCTCACAGTCCTGTTTTGGGCATTTTCTTGCCTTTTGGCACTTTCGGAAGGTATGGTTGCCTTGTAAACAAGAAAAACAGAGCTTTTGTTCTGCTACATGTTTAGCCCTTTGTGTTGCGTTTTTCTCTTTGAACACGGAACAGTTCCAGAGTGCATGCTGCCCTTTGCATAGCGAGCATGGAGGAAACCTTGTCTTTTCTCTACTTTTCTCATCCTTAGAACTTACCTTAGTGTTACCTGCAAGCACTTTTGTAACTACTTTTTGTTTAACTGGCTGCTCGACTTTGACTAAAGATTTCAATCGCTCATGGCATTCTGCCTTATTCTTAAGCCAATCGTTGAAGTCTAGCAATGTTAATTGCTGCCAATGTTGTCTAACAGTATGCATGGACCATGCCTCTTTTAGATTTGGAGGAAGCTTACTGACGGCTTGATTTAATAGGTTCACACTTTTCAAGTCGTCATTGAACGACAAAGACCTAAAAACAGCTACGAGCCCAGAAATCACCGCAGAAAAACTTATAACATGGTCAGAGTTGTGCATCTTCAATGCGGGAAAATTCTTCAACTTATCCAAATGTGCACCAACTACAACATGAGGCTGCCCAAACTTTCTCTGGAGAGTTGCTAGAGCATCCTTATACAACACTCCACTGTAGCCGTATTCCGCAATTGCACTCTTGGCTTTGTCTTTAACGTGCGTTTTCAGATATTTGAGTTTTTCATCATCAGTTAGCATAGCCGAATCAACTGTTGCTTGGAACTGCCCGAACCATTCATACCAGTTAAGTGGTTCTCCATCAAACACTTCCAAGTTCAACTCCGGTAGACGGTCTTTGCGGCTATGCAGAATGATATCTGCTAACTCTCTCGCCGAGATGGGTTGTTCGGTATTAGGCACGTAAGACGGGCCCGTAGTGGGCGCAGGATATGTAGGTGGATAACCTTGATGCGCTGTTTCAACAACTGGATGAGTTTGCGGCTGGGTGGAACAACAGGAGTTGTCACTGAGAAAACGTTTGAGGGCGGTGCGCAGTATTGAGGAACTGGCATCGTTTGCGCAGTCGCGGCAGGTCTCCACAAACTGCTATACGGGTTATAGTGTTCACTTGAGAAACTTGTTGGGTTGTTTGGAACATTTATAGGTTGATGGGATGGCGCTGCAGGCGCCTGATACCCAGTTGAAACGGGGCCGGAATGTGGCTGACTGACCGGAAGCAAAGAGGGAATAGGAACGGTTGACGGGACAAATGGTTGAATAATCGGAAGCGAAATGGGAATCGGAACGGTTAATGGAGGAACAAAAGGTTGACTCGCCGGAAGCGAAACTGGATTAGTAACGGTCGACACAGAAGGCGGTGCCACATTAATGGTGGGATTACTAAAGGGCATTGAAGCGGGAATGCTACCACTTGCTTGTGGTATCAGATTGTGATTTTGCGAAACTTCAGCATGAGATGTTGAAGCTAAGTGTGGAGTAACAAAGTTTGAGCTGGAGGCAACGAACTGTGGTAAACTAGATAGGTTCTCGATTGAGTGCAATGACAGACGCGATTGGACCAAACTTGATCTCTGAGCCTGAATTCGATTCCTATTGTGGCCTCCCGGTTCACTGTATGTGGTTTGACCAGCGTTGACGACGGCACCCCCGCTGACGATGGCACCAACCCCTTGCAAAACATCAGTAGCAATCAAAGTGGAACTCTCGACTACTGGATGACTTTGCTCTGAGCTTGCAACAACTTCGGCCTGCTCTTGCTCAGTGACAACGTTTTCTACCCATTGTTCAGTACGTTGTGGGTCAACATGTGTTACGCTAGCATTTCCTATCTTCTCACTTGCTGCAGAAAGCTCTTCTTCCAACTCGAATTCCTTTAACTCAATTTCAGCCAGTTTCTTGCGGTGTACCTCAGCTAGTTCTTCCAACTCTAAACTTCCTTGCTTTTCTTTTATTTTATTTTGCTGCGCTTTCAACTTCAATGACACCTTTGCTTGTCTCTCAAGTTCCTCTAGCTGCTTCTTCAAAACCAACAAATCTCGCCTCTTCTCAGTTGATGTTTTTGACTGCGCGACGGTATAGCGACTGGAATTATGCGAACCTGATTTATGATGTCGACTACTGTACCGCGACACCTTAGAGCGCGCATCTGCTTCATGTGAATCTTGTGGTTGTGTTGTTACGATCGTACTTAACGATTCTGCAACATTGTCAAGCTCTGTTTCCTCAGGTTCAACGTTTAAGCCAGCTTTATATGATGCAGCCTTCTGTAAAACTGTATAGTTTCTTGATGTAACCGTATGAAGCCACATATCCTGCGCTGGTATCAATTTATCAGGATCAACACTTTTAGAAGCTAATTTAATCAATTCCTCATTTATTTCAACTGCAGTCTCTATCAGGCTCTTGCAATTCTGAATCTGAGTGTCAATCTTTGATGAGCGACTCTGACTTTCAATGTTCTCAATTATAATTTCATGGCACTTGTACAGTTCATTTTCAAGCTTGGTTCGCTTCGCAAATAACCTTTGAACCCTCTTCTGAAAGTTCTCATCCATGGCTCTAGGGTCTATACTTAACTCAAATTATACTTAACGGTTATCGGGCGTTTGCGGGGAGATTCGGAACGGTTTTCGGTGAGTAAAGTTACCAATGGGGCTGGGGATTAAGTAAGTCGGTTGATATCAAACAACACACACGGAGTAAACCTGAGGATGAATAAAACCAACTTAACTTACTTAATATCACCTCCCTGACCACTTAGGATGATGTTACGGCGTACGAAATTTGTTGAACGGTCGTACGACGGTGCGTCAATACTAATCGGCTAGTAGCTCGACGAATTACCAAGAGGTTTGGGAATTAAGCAAGTCGGTTGAAAACCAACAACACACGCGGAGCAAACCTGAGGATGAAAGACAACAACCTAACTTGCTTAATTTTACCGTCCCGGACCACTTAGTCAGTCGTTGCGAAACGAATGTTTTGAAAAGCGAACGAATGCAAACAGGTATCAAGTCGTTGTGAACCTTAAGTTTACCAATGGGGTTGCAGAATCAGGCAAATCGGTTAACTCTCAACAACACACGCGGAGTGAACCTGAGGATGAAAAAAAATTAACTTAACTTGCCTGATATTAACTACCCAGACAACTAAACATACTTTAACTATACGGTTCAACGGAGTTTTGGACTTATTTTTCAGAAAATTTTCAATTTTCAAACAAAATTTTGTATAGTTTGGTTAGTGGATTCGAGTCATAACTGGTATCAAAAAACTAGTCTAGTAACCGTTAGTCTATGTTCCGATATTATAAATTTTCAATTCATCAAAAAAATAGCCAACATTTTGGCTATCGAGCAAAAAATCTAGTTCCGGTTATCTAGTACCCGATTTAGAGCAATTTTTCTAATTTCAGTTTAATCAAACTGGCCGAAAATTTTCGGGTATCGAGAAAAATTAGGGGTGAGTACTGGCGTTGTGTCTCTTATTTATAATATAAAACATCGTATCCGTAATTTATCAAAATTAAAAGTTTAGATTCGGTCTTACAGTTTTTGTGAAGATAGGGCGCACCGATGAGATCGTTGGTCACAAACAGCCTCACTGAATAGCCCAAACCGTCTTGTTGCAAGTCAGAAACTCTGTCAGTGACTTATCGTCTGGATGGGTTACCCTGTCAGTGCTATTGAACTCCCAGACAGTATAATTGCAGGCAATTTTTCAGTATAACCGTTTTTGTAATAATAACTCGGATTATTATAAGGGAATTAACTAATATCTGTCCCTTGTGGGGCGCCAAAATGTGCGCTAATCTCCACAAAACAAAGTTAAAATCAATATTTTATTCGTATTTCTCGGTAAATACTCGTGTTTGGTCATAAATCGGAATATATCCACAATTTTTGTATAAACGGACATAATCAGTCATAAACGACTATAACTCAAACTTTTTACTTGCATCATCGTATATCGGACGCAACGCCAGCTTGACTTTTTCCGAAACTGCTTGCCTTTTGAAGCAATTAAAAACCAGCTTGACTTTTGCAGAAACTGCAAAAGTGCAAAAAAAACTGCTCTTTTGTAGGTCGTAGTTTTAAATTTGAACGATTTATGTTTCACGCATTAGTTACGTTTTGCGCTGCAACATTACTTTTCTTATTGCTATTTTTAGAACTATAGAGCTGCTTTTTGTCGTAATCTCGCTAGTGTTTACGAAGCGCAGCTTCGCCTCTATGTTGAATACTTTATATTTACATCTTTTTTAGAACCTTCAGTCCAGCTGGGTGCTCTAGTCAAACTTATTTTAACTGTTGCATGTTGCTTCGCTTACTAATCATTTAAAAGCACATCACTCTTTTATAAATTCACAATCACGCTTCTTTAGGTGAGTTTTTAACTAGCTTGTGTCAGTTTAAGTTTTGGAATAGATAAAATATGATATTTGGGTAGCTAAATTAAAAATGAGTCCAAGAAAAAATTGCCGGCAAAAAAGAGAAGCACATTTCTTTTGTTTTTGGCTTTTAAAGTAAAAACGGGAACTAAGTTCAAGACTGGTGGCTTGTATTGACAGTGTTAAAATCATATCATAATGTGAAAAAAACAAATTCATAAACTTGTTAAGTTGAAATGTGTTTTTTTTTAGTTGATAAGCGGTTTTATCGAAAACATTAACAGTGGTGCTGTTTCTTACTAAGCTTTTACAGGGCTTCTTTTATCATATTTGGATTTATATTGGAGTCTTTTGACTTTTCCACTAAAAAAAATTTCAAAAGCGGCGGAGAAAACCAATTCTAACCAATCATTTTTCAGTATTTAGATTTCTTTTCATTGTTTGGATAGAATAATGGGATGGAATTAGTTAAAAGAATCCTGTTAGTGATACTTTGGGAGTTTATGAGATAGAGTTATTGAAAGGACCCCTCAAAGTAAGTGATGTTTTGATGAGTTCGATGGAGCGTTGCATTTTTATTATACTTTCAGAGAGTTCAGAGAAGCGTAAGACTGGCTGTCAAGCAGTGTGTATTCTGCTAGAAGGGGGACCCAACTCGGCCGAGACTCTCTACTCTAGTCTGGCTAAGAAGGTACCATGTGTGGTAGCCAGTAACAGTGGAAGGGCCTCCGACATCATCACTTATGCCAAAGAGAACACCAAATACGAAATGTGAGAACACATTGACATAGCATTTTGCTAGAAGTTGGTTTTTATTAAACTTATGCAATCAGGTTCTAGAACCCCCCCCCCCCCGTAAATGACTTGGTTCGCAGGACTCACTGGACTCATTTCTTAGAATCCTTTTTTGCAACAATTTTACTGCATCAGACATTTTTTGTGCTCATTAGTATTTTAAATATCTCGTATTTACGCTTGCGATTAGCAAGTGTTATCAAATCGGAATTTAGAATTTTTTTCGGGTTAACAACAACTAGTGCAATAAAATCAGTTGAATCACTATGCAGCTGGCATGCTCAATTTCATGAAAAAACAATTTTCACTACTAGGTTGGTACTAGTTACTGCGGCAGTTTCAGGGGACTCTTTACCAAATCAGTTTTTTTTCCGGCTCAACTGCTGTCTGCTCAAAGATTGTCAGCCTTGTTTCCGCTTAGTAAGTTTTGTTCAGTTGCTAATTTAAATTTCAAATGTCTTGCTTGGCGTGCTTAACTAAAATTCTTGTTTGAGAAAAACAGGTATTATGAAAGTGTTTGGGATTGCGTTTTTTATATCTTTTTTGAGAAGCTTTAGAAAATTTTGTCAAGGTTCGCTAAAAATTTTAGTTTTTTCTCAAAAACCTTTCTATCGGTTTTCAAAAAAGTCTACCCCTAGAAGGATTGCCTATAATCTAGTCTGTTTGCATACTCTGCTGACCTCTTTTTGATTTACACCTTTGTCTACAGCCTTCGAAAATGTCTGTGGGGGGAATATTTGACCAAAATTTTTGATTTTTTGGCCGTATTCCCAACAAGTAACTCAGTAAATCCGGGATTTTAAAAAGCTCCCCTACATAAGCCCTCGGAATAGTCAAATGTTCTTTTTGACTGTTTTTTTTTAAATCTTTTTTAAGTTTTCTTGAAACCTAACCTAAACCGGAGGTTCTGGGTTCAATGGAGATAACGGGTAGTGGGAAGCTCCCCCGCATTAGCGGTCACTCACAATTTTTTTTTTCAAAAAAAACATCGTCCTCGGAAAATTCTTTTTTTTTGATATTTGAATGTTATTTTTTTCTAAATTTTTCACATTTTACTGAAAAATAGCTTCCCATATCTGAGTTTTTGAGTTCAATCCTTAAAGTTCCTTTGTATACGCGACTATGAGCAAATTTTTTTGACACAAAAAGTTATAGCCCTCGGAGAGTCAAATCTTTTATTCTTTTGACCGTTGTTTGAAATTTTGAATTTTCTCGAGGACAACTTTTCCAAACCTGAGTGTTTGGGCTAAATCAAAATTATAGGTTTGGTGAATCTCTGCTGCATAAGCGGCTACGGTGAATTGTTTTAGATTAAAAAAACTATGATTCTCGAGAATGTCATTTTTCGGATTTGATGACCGTGTTTTAGTCTTTTCTTGATAACTATCCTGACATATCTGATATCTTAAGTGAAAGTTTTGAAACTGCGATCGTTTTTGGGAAGTGTTTCGAAAATTACCGTGATAATTTTTAGGTTAAATTTTCACTAGAGAAACTCGGTTTTTGGAATCTTCACTTTTTTACCGGCCACGACCTGCTTTTAGCAGATAAACGTTATGGATATCGGAAGTTTTTGAACTTTGACCATTTTTAGAAACTTTTTGAGTTTTTTTAATAACTGCCCTATCAAAACTGAGATGAAAATATCAATCGAAAGAAACAGTTGTGGGCGCGAATTTTTCCTGCAGAAGCGGCTACATCTAAATTTTTTGTAAGAGAAAGTTTATTGTGTCGGGAAAATTCTCAAATATTTTCACTCTTCATCTTACTTATTTTATTAGAGAAACAACCAAGGTTTTGAGCAAAATCTGTTATTTGAAATTATGCATTTGGTCCCGCATCAGTACAACAAATTCCAAAATTATCAAAAACTTACCTGCTGTCTTAGCTTGGCCCTAGGTGTTCTTCATCGAGACGTACGAAAGTTTTGTTTCACCTAGTTTTTTATTTTTAATTTTTGTCTTATGCTTTTTTATGATTGTGCTGTTCAACCTGCTGTCTTCGTTTCACTTGTGTTTTATTTATATTTCAGGGATCCAATCACTCGTCGTCGAATGGGCAGATTCGATGGTGATGTGTTGGTGAAGTTGGAGACAGAAATGCTAAACAGCTACGGTTGGAGGAAACTCCCCGAAGAAATGCGGAGGGAAAACCTGGACAAACAACTGATGTTTTTGAGAGAAATTTGCGCAGAGGATAACAACAAATACGTGAGCTTCAGTTTAATACGGCCACAAATTATGATTTCGCGACCTAGCAAAATTGTTCCTCAATTTTTCTCTTTCAGTTTGGAACTTGTTACCGGAAAACTATCTCTATCTTTTCGCGCTCAAGTTCTGATTTCTGTTTTGATTTCGATGTACTTTCTTACTGAATGCGAGTTTTGACCGTTAATGTTCCAACAACGTAGTTAAGAGGAATTTTGGTTTCTAGTTGTTTCTTCTGTGACATTCAAAGTCAGAACGCACACAAAAGTTTGGGTTTTTACCATTTTCAAGCCAACTTTTACGTGATAATTGGAAATTATACTAGGAACTTTCGTTTTTTTCTTGTTTTTATTCAATTAAGAGACTTGAGTTTAAAAACTTTTTCCGCTATGCAGGCTATTTTTTTTGATTTTTTGATTTTTTTTCAAAAGTGCGCTCCTGCAAAAGTATAGCCCTATAAAAGTTATTGATGTGCTGTTGAGCCATTTTTACCGAGAAAGTTTTTCTACCGAGAAAAAAAGGGGCCAGAAGAGAAAATGTTAGGATTCATTAGACAGCTCTTCTAATTAGGTTCACTGAAATTTGCGTGTAAGGCTGGTGGTAAATGATTTGTCTTGTAGTAGTATGCTGTGTATAATAAATATGATCCTTTCGTGCAACCACTCATAAAACGTGTTCAATACATTGGCGAGAATTCTGTTATTCAATTTTTTCAACGGGCGTCGAAATTGTTTTTGAGGTACGGTTTGTATAACCCTTAAATGTTGACCCCCTGAGCTCAAATGTAATGATGTCGTTAAGGTCAGATTATTTTGGATAAAATTTGGAGACTTCAAAGTCAGAATGTTTTCAATTTGTCTGGACTAAAATCTGCGCTTTTTTATGCTTGATCTTGTCTAAGAATGCTCGACGCGTAAGCGCGACTTCATTGAGCATGTCAAACTAATCTGAAAATTGACGCTTTCATTTAATTTTAACAGATTGAAATAAGGCCAGCTGATTGTTCTAAAAAGGTCTCTGCTTAGATTCAAATTATTTTTCATGTTTCCGTAATTTCTTAGTTTTTTTAATTTTTTTTTGCTGAGCTATCTTTTTTCTTTCAAAACCATTTTTTGCTTGTGCTTGCGAAGTACAGCTTCCGCTCTACACAAATATTCAATTCAATGAACGTATTGAAGACTCTTATATCGGTCGTGATGTTTTTCTTGGTTTTAACAGAAAAAGTCGAAAAATTATTCACGCTCATGTTTTGATTTTTCGCAGTTTGACTTTTGACTTCTTAATAAGCTCAGTTCATTCCTCTGTTAAAAGGAAGGCGAACTCAACTATCGAGTAGTAAAAGTGTAAAGGTAACAAAAAGCTTGATCGACTTATAGTTTCGAAATTGGATTTTAATTTCAGATTTCCAAGCGGAATGAAAAAATTCACGTTTTGATTCAGTTTTTTCAAATTGAGTTAATTTTTTTTTTCTAAAATTGTCAATCATAAATTGTTCCTAAAATTCAAAAAGACTTTTGAATTTTTTTTTTGAAATTATAAAATTGATTTTTTGTTTATTTAAAAACTCAGCTTTTTTTTTGTTTCCTTTGTTTAAAAACTCAGTGTCCTTTTTCTGTTTAAAAAAACTCAGCTTCCTTTTTCTGTTTCCTTGTTCATGAGTCTTTCCAACTGTCTGATCGCTATTTTTTAAATTCGGTCTGTTCCCTTTTTTCGAAGGCATTCAAACTCAACTATCGAACAGCGAAATTATAAAATCACGAAAAACTTGATCGACTTGTAGTTTCGATATTGGATTTAAATTTAACTTTTCCAGCGGAATAAAAAAATTATCTTTTCACTAAATTTTTTCAAAATGGGTTAGTTTTTATCAAAAAGGGTTAGTTTTGATCAAAAAAGTGTCAATCATCATAAATTGTTCTGGAGTATTATAGAGCTTGAAGTTCATCTGATTTTTTGAAATCGAAAATACAAGTTTCTATCAAAAACGAAGTCAGTTTTTTTTCTGTTTCCTTGCTCTTTTCCTACTGTTTTTTATGTTAATTTCCATCTATTTGCCATGTTAATTTCATGAAGCTATCCTTGAAAGTGTGATGTAATTTTCTGTTCGAAGATCGTTCTCAGGTCCTCTTGTTTTCAGCTGGCCTTATGTTCATTTAACATGATTAAGATTAATGAACGTAGTGAAGACTCTTAGATAGGTCTTGCTGATTTTTTTGTTTTTTTTTTCAGGAAAAGTCTGAAAAGTCTAATAACTACAGATGTGCATTCATACATATTGCTGCATTTATGAATGCACTTATGTATATATGCTCTTTTTGAGTTCAATTAAAATTAATTTGCTGAAAGTGACGTAAATAGAACTCTCCAAATACGAACGTGTAAATGGCGCAAAAAAACGTGAACAATTTCCAGTTTCGAAAGTGGAATTTAATTTTAGTTCTCCAGCGGAATAAAAATTTTACCTATTGATCCAGTTTTCTTTAGTTGGGTTCATGTTATCAAAAAAGCGCCAATCATAAATTGTTCTAGAAATTCAAGGAGCCTAAAGGGCATCTATTGTTTCTGCGAAATTCGAAGGTTGAGATTTTTTAAAGAAAGTCAGTATTTTTTTTATGTTTACTTGCGTTCATTACACTTTTCCAGTCTTCGATTGGCTATGTTCTGAATTATAAAATTTTTGCGGTTAGTGCCTTAATTCTTACCGCGCTCAGGTTTTAATCTTTCCATTGAATATCTCTAGTATTAGCAAAATTATAAATCGTTTGACCAGAAATACTTTAAAGAATTTTAGATAAAAATAACTCCCTTTTGTTGGTGATAAATCAGTTGGCGATGTTTTTTTTTCTGGTTAATGATCAGCGAAGTGATTCGGTAGATCAGCTAAGAGTGCTGGCATCATTTTTTTTTGCCTTCAATGGTTTTGAGCACGGAATGGTTGTTGGTGCGGCAGCTTTCAAAGTACTGCGAGGAGAGACATTTCCCGTGGTGGGTTATGGGGAGTATTTGGCAATTGATGCCTAGATGGTCTGTTTTTGTCATTTCAGTGCATCCAGTGACGGTATGGAGGGCTGCATTTTTAACTGTTTGTAGTTTGGGATGACAGCCTTGCTTACCGTGTACGGCCATGCTAAGAAGGTGTGTATTTTAAAACTTGTCTGGTCATCGCCGTGAGGGTGGCTAGCAGACTTTCCAGGTGGATACTGCAAGAGCTTTAAGAGCCCATTTTTTCCTTTTGTGGCTTTTGCAGTAGGCGAAATACTCGAGCAAGGGGCACTTTGGTTTGGGGGCGGTGCTTGAGTGGTAGAAGTGGGTTGTAGATTCTGACTAGTCGAAATATTTTTGAGTCGGAAAAGAATAGAAAAACAGAACCTTTAGAGGGGGCTCTCAACGAAAAATATACACTCAAGGATATTTGAAAACAATGTGGATAAGTCTTTATGTTTTTGCTCTGTTTTTAGACGTTGAAGTCTTCGACAATTGATATAATGTTTATGCTCTGTGGATCATGAGTCACTCCTAGAGAAGTTGAATAGTATGGGGAAAGTCACTGACCCTGGGGGGACTCAGCTGCGCATTGTTTTTGATTGTTTTTTAATCTCTGATAGTTGCTTAGCCAGCGTCGGTTGGGCCCCGAAAACGTTAGGTTTATCAATCAGGGTGTGGTAATCGACACAGTCAAAGGTCTACGGCTGCTAGTTTCTTCTGTGTGCGACTGTTTTTTTTGGTTAAATTTGGTCTAATGGAGATTTAGTTGTCCAGGGATGTACCTTGTTTGTGCAGTGGAGTATTCACTGGAAAATAGCGGAGACAGTTATTTCATCAACGATGACGGCAACGCGGTCGTCTTTGGTAATTTAGGAGTTCAATGATGGGCTGTGGTTGTTTGTGTCTGGGAACGTTATTCCATCCGATTAATTGAGTAAGTCATCAATAAACGCGGTAAATCTTCGAGGGATGAAAATCTAAGTGGGATGTAGATATTGCTGATTGATAGCTACTCTGCGATTCTTAGGAGCAAAAAAAATCATGTCTTCGGTAGGGGAAGTCTTAGGATATAGGAAAGAAAGGGCTTCTTCTGTTTCTGAGTCTTTCGGAGTTATATTATAGTTTCCGAGGTAAGAAACCAGTAAGAAACCAATTAAATTGTAACAGCTAAAATAGATGTTACAATTAAATTGGTTTCTTACTTTACAATTAACTTTAGAGGGCGAGCTTGGGTGGAAATGCCATTGCAATTCTGCTATACCAGGAAGAGACTATTTGAGGAGTTTGTAGTGTTGGCTTGATTGATTGCGAGGGTGAGATAGTTTTGTTTTTGATTTTATAGTCGTAGAAATTCTTTCGGCTGTGGTCTGTTAGTGCTGACGTTGTGTAATCCTTGGTCGTTACTACAATAAAGTAAATTAATAAAGCGAGCACGAAAACTATTTTTGTGTGGGTGTCTGTTAAAAGCTATGTCCGATAAAGGGGAATGGTCAAATTGGTAATTAATTAATAGTAAAAGCTCTGCCTGTAACTTTCTTCGAATCTGTTCTCGAATCAGCAGCAGTTGGTTTAGGTGACCATCTATTCCATTCGGGATCCTCTGAACAATGATCTGGACAAGGTGATTCTGGGGGCACTGATGAGGGCGATGCAAAAGGACGAAAAGGAGCCCGACGAGGAAGATCTGAAGCGACAGCTGTTCTTCTCAGTTAAGTGGAACAGACCGGATAGTGCTCGCGAGAACATCTTCAACAGAAGCAGGTACCAGAAATAATTATGGGAATGGCTCTAATGATAAATCATATTAAAGCCCTTGCAGTCGTGATTCGAACGAATTTAAAAGGTGTTCAAAAATGGTGCCAATGTCAAGAAAAACCGGTTGATTTTTTTTGAGTTTTATATTTCGAGCGAGTAAATAGAATTTGGAGCTTATTATGTAAGAAAAATTGTTTTTCGAAGAATCTTGGGAATAAAAACTTTGAAAGTTCTGAAAAAATATAGTAATATGTGAGTGTCAGTTTATAAAGAAATTCAAGTAACTTAAAAAAATTTATTGTTTTGCTGCGATAGGCAGCACTGTCAGAGATCAAATCAAAAAAATGCCTTTATTTTTTCAATTAAGAAAAGGGTCGAGTTTTTTATCAAGCAAAGGCTCGATTGTTAATTGTCAATGAAAGAAATAAAGAGTTTTATCGAGGTCGTGTGGATTTGTTAGGAAAAAAATTTTTTAAGTTGATTCATGCTCAAATTAGATTTTCCGAGTTCTGATTTCTAAAATTCATTTCAAATCCATTTGATAGAAGGAAGGCAAATTACGCTCTCTAATGACGAAAGAGCAAAATGCGCAATAGTTGTGAATTACTTTTGGGGTCGAGCTTAAGCCTAATTTTTCAAGTGGAGTTTTAAAAAAATACATATTGACCCATCTTTATCCAATCGCAAAAAGTATATAGAAATCATAGTTTGTTTGTTCACGGATTTTGCAGTTTGTGCGCTGATCAATGTTTGTTTTGATCAATTACATGTTTTGAGCAATTACATGGGGGGGGGATATAGTTAACAAGGATTGAAATAGCGTCAACCAATAGGAATGCGACAAGAACACATTTCTGAGAAATACAAAACGAATCCAGTTGACAATTAAACTTGGCGAAAAGTGTTTTTATTTACAAGGTACCATAGGGGGGGAATAGTTAAGATGATCCCAAGATTCGATACATTATGTTATGATTGTTGTAATTGTTGTGTGTAGGAATAAGTTCCAGCCAGAGTATCTGCAGAGTGTGTTTGTGGAGTGCATGTTGGAGAATAAGTTCGAATTTGTCAATCTACTTCTGGACTGTGGAGTCACCATGGAGATGTTCAAGAATGTAGTTGTGCTCGAACAACTATTCATATACGTCAGTTATTTCATATTTCACTACATGCATATATTCAATATACGGCGACAACTCGCAACAAAAGAGAGCTCGAAAAAACGAATAGCTAGCTAATGGTAATGATCGGATCTACTTCATACGTAGATTGCATCGGCGAATTGTCGACCAATCAGAATGCAGCAAAATTCGAATTTAAATAACACGCTCTGGTGCTGATTTACCGCTCTTAAGTTAGGGGTGCAAATGTAGATTCAAATGATGCTTTAATTACCAAAAAAAACATCTAGATCAACGGCAAATCAAATACTGATTCATGCGCATTGCACCACTCCTGTCCAATGTAAGCGCAACGGAGCTAGCGGTTGAGGCCAACTTGCGAGTTGACATCATTTTTTCTTGCTTAGTTGCCGCTTCGTAGTTTTTTTTCATGCTATTTAACGCTGACTTTTGTCTCTAATTTTGGGAGATCTGCCATGCTAATTTGCCTCTGTGCAAAATTAATTAATTACGGGGATAAAGAGCTGTTTATTCAAGGTTGCCGTTTGACAAAGTGTAATTATGATGAATCGAACGCGTTTTCATAGACTCATTCAAGTCAAATGACATTTCTTAATTTGCGAATCAAGAAAAAGCTTGCTCCAAAATTGGTTTTTTCTAAGTGTTTTTGCCCGAGCCAAAAAATAGAACTATAGTCATAAAATATTCTGTGTTTTAGAAAAACAACCAGAATGACCGGACTTTCTATCAGTTCATGGACTCTATCGTCATGAAGAGATGTGTGAGTAGTGTTTAATGTTTTGAGTCAGTAATAAAATTTTTGTCAAACGAAAGAAATCAAATTCAAATTGGTCAAAAATTCGAAAAGTTTTCAAGAATACTGTTATTTTGCATTAGTCTGTTTTTGCGTGAATCTTTTTAAGTGTAAAATAACGAAGTGATTTTCTTTTTTATAGGTCTTGATTTTTTTTGCAAGAAAAAATCTTGCAGTTTTTTCTTGCTCAAATTTGATTTTTCGCGGTAGACTTTTGATGTTTTTTGAGTTCAGTTCCTTTCTTTTGTTAAAAAGAACGCAAACTCTACTATTGAAGAGCAAAGTGTAAAATTCACGAAAAGTGTGAATGACTTCTAGTTTCAAAAATGGGCTGAATTTCTTTGAGTTCCCAGCAGAATAAAAAATTACCCTGATCCAGTTTTCTCTAAATGAGATTTTTTAAAGAAAAAAGCTGCGATCATTAACAATTCTCGAAATTCAAAGAGCTTCAATGTGGTATCTTTTTTCTTAGAAATTGTAAAGTTTGTCCAAACCTTTTTTTTTCGTTTTCCTTGTTATTTTCAACACTTTTACCACCACCCGTTGGCTATGTTTTGATTCTCTAGAGCGCGGGTAGCTATCTCATCGAATCTAAAGTAACAATTTGATTCAGAAAATAATGCGGTGGACGAGGATTTTGATGCTAAATAGTGGGTAGATGTAACAATGTAACCTTGTCGTGTCCAATTATATTCAAAGTTAGACAAGAACATTTTTTGAGAAGCATAGTTGAAAATCTGTCATTTTGGACATTTGGAAGGATGTTGATGGAACTTTCTCTCCCATTCGCACGTTTCCTATAGTAATAACCTCCCTATGGAATCATTTGATGAGAATGAGATCAGTCTTCACTTAATTGAATAAGTTTTTTTTCTGCGTGGTTTCAGCCTACAGTTCCGTTCTTCTTGGCTATGTTGCGGGGGATGAAGCACTTGATCGGGGGTGGGTTCCAATTTGCAATGCTCTCTGATGACTTCGTCCAACGCTACACAGAATACTACAACAAGAGGGTTTGTTTTCAAAGTTTCATTACATGCGGAGTGCAGTATCATATTACGAATTGAAATTTTTTCTCCAACCTAAGTCGCTAAAAAAATTTTGCATCTATTTTGTGGCACTCATGCAGCAATAGCATTATGTCTGGTTAACCTTTGCTGCTTTAGCATAATATTTTTAAATGTGGTTTGTTGGTGAGTAGTGTTTAAGAGTAATGAACATAGTGAGTACTCTTATATTGGTCTTGCTGATTTTATTTTTTTTTTCAGGAAAAAAAGTCATAAAAACTTGTTCACGCTCAATTTTGATTTTTTGCAATTTGACGAAAGATTTTTTCTTAAGTTCAATGCATTTTCATTGTTTAAAGGAAGGCAACTTCACTATCGAACAGCAAAAGTGTAAAGGTCACGAAAAACGTGATCGACTTCTAATTTCGAAAATGGAAATTAATTATCGGTTTCCCAGCAGAAAAAAAGTTTTGCCTGTTGATCCAGTTTTCTCAAAATGGGTTAATTTTAACGATAAAGTGTCCATCATAATTTGTTTTACAATTGCATAGAGCTTTAAGGCCATCGTTTTTTTCGAAATTCAAAAGCTGAAGGTTTTTGAAAAAACAAGTCAATTTTTTTTTCAGTTTTCTTGCGTTCATTACTCTTTTCCAACTGTCAGTTGGCTAGGTTTGATGATTATTAACCGCCCAAGGCGCATATGAGAGGAAGTTGAAAAAACTGACCGATAAGTTGACTCATCATTTTTTGGATTCAAATCTTAAGTTTTCCGTTAAAATCAATCATAACTTTTATTCAATTTTAAAAAATTCGTAACTAAGCTCACAGATTTCAGTCCATAATATTTGGTGAATTGTGATCGATTTTGCATCAAAAACATGGAAATGCAAGGTATCAAATGTTTTCAAAGATTGTTCACTCTGAAAAAAAATCACTCAGGGATTTACGAAACGTTTTCAATATCGCCCAGTATAAGTTGTGTTGTTTTTTTCTTTCTCACGTTGAGTCGATTTTTTTTGGTTTTTTATTCGTTTTTAAGTTTTATTCACATTATTTTGCCAGAATGTAGGCAACTTGCGCTTTCCAATTGCAGAATTGCAAAGAGGCCAGAAAATGTGAATGACTTGTAGTTTCGAACTATGGATTAAAGCTCAAGATCTTGCAACGGAATAGAAAACTAACTTTTTATACCAGTTCTCTATAATTGGGTCCGCTAATTTAGTTCTTACTATGAAAAAACTGTCATTCATGAAAGATCGTTAAAACTAGAGAGCTTGAAAGTGGTGTATTGCTGCAGACATTCATTGAGGTCTTGCAGTTTTTAAGGAAATAGTTTTTGCGCCAGCCAGCAGCTAGTGTTTTAGTACGAACCTTCTTTTTTTCTAACTTAACTCGCGAATAAAAGTATTCGTTGAAAGTGTTCATTTCTGTGCCTTAATGCTATAATCACGGTCTGTAGAGTTACAAATTTCATTGTATGTTCTCGGCTTTACTTGTGGCTAGTGTTTGTGATGGACTAAGCATCCGTGGCTCAGATTTTGCTGTTTTTTGTCGTGTTATCGCTAGTGTATGGGAAGAGCATCTTCGTCTCTGCGTGAAATTGATTGTAGCTATTTCGAATTACCGTGTTTTATTTCATGCATGAGCTTGATTTTTTATTTTTTTATTTCAATTCAAATGCATTTGCTAAAAGGAAGACAGGTAACGCTAAAGGAAAGGGAATAATACTTCTCCTTTTTATCTAGATTTCACAAATTTGGTCACTTACAGCGAAGAAGTTTCAATTAAGGAAGATTTTTAAGTGCAAAGAATTTGAACGTGATCTATTTTTACTTCGAAAAATAATTGAGTTTCTTAAAAAATTGATTTTTTTCTTTCTTCCTGTTTTCATCGATTGTTTTCCATCTGTCCAATGGCTATGTTTTTGTATCTTATGGATTTTTGTTTCATTTTGTGTCGGCTAATCTAGTAATTACAGAATCGCTAGTAATGTTGTAAGTGTTGTCTTTGTAAAATTTTTCTGATCAGATAAAAACTTTGATGATTTGATTTAGAGTTCTCTCTAAGTTAACTTCAAACTAGTTTGCAAAAAGGAAAGTATAGTACGCTTTCCGTTTGACTTCGTTTTTTTAATTCATTTGCTTAATAGATGCAAATTATGCTCTCCAATAACAAAACGGCAGATGGAGCTAAAATTTGCGCTCCACTTTTATTTGCAAAATTGGTTTTAAAGTATTTTGATTTCGATATTTTTTAGATTTCTCGCAGTTTTCGAGATTCAGTGAAATAAAAGTATAATGTTTTCATTAATCTCAAAAAGGTCAGCTTCAAGTGTCAGCTTCAAGATTTTTGCTATGACACTTGAGAGTTAGAAAAAGTCATCAGTGTTCTATTCATGAACATTTTCTCTCGTTTTTGGTTTTTTTTTAAGAGTCGATGAACGTAGTTCAGACTCTCATATAGGTCGCGTTTTTTTCGTTTCAAAGGTCACGAAGGAGCAGATATATAGACTTTCAATTGGCTCGCGTCACTTAAAAAATTTTGTAGACTCCAAGTTTTACTCAGTCAGTTTTTTTATCAGTAGCGTTATCGGTCATCTTTTTGCTTGTGTAGGCGAAGTGCAACTTCGCCTCTGTGTCAAAAAAATGCCAGTGTACCTGGCTTTTATTTTCGTCATTCAGAGTATCAGTGCCGTCAGTGCCTGCAATTTCTCAGACACTGTTGCGACACTGAATTTTGTCACAAGCACAAAAGTTGAAAAAGTTCCTAACAAGTGGGTTTTCTCAATTCGAAAATCAACTTCTAAGGAGTTAGAGATCCATATCCTTTTTTCCGCGCTTGAACCTATGTAAAACCTTCGTATCGATGAACCTCCTTCGGACTCTTATATGGGTCGCGATGATTTTTTTTTTTTTGTTTTTTCCAGGAAAAGTAATAAAGATGGTTCATGCTCAAATTTAATTTTCCGCTGTTTGGCATTCGATTTTTAGAAATTCAGTTCAATTCCACTGTTAAAAGGAAGGCAAACTCCGCTATCGAACAGCAAATGTTTAATGGTCACGAAAAACTTGATCGACTTCTAGTTTCGTTATTAGAATTTCAATTTCAGCTTTCCCAGCAAAAAAAAAAATATTATTGATCCAGTTTTCTCAAATTGGGTCAATTTTATCAAAAAACTGCCAATCATAATTTGTTTTGAAATTTCAGAGTGCTTTAAAAGCATCGGTTTTTATCTTTAAAATTCGAAAGTTGAGAGTTTTCTAGTTGTAGTTTTTTCTGTTTAATTGCGTTTTATGACTTTTTTCCAACTGTCTGTTTCTCATGTATGGGTTAATATTGTGTTTAATGATGTTATTTGGTTTCACCACCTCACTTTTGTTTTTCTTTTATTAATATTTGATTTTTTTTGTTTTTAGTTACTTTTTTATTTCGATGTTTGGTGCGAAACTAATGTATCGTCTAATATGTTAATATGCCAGAAAATGCTTGTTATAATAATTAAAAAAATGTTCCTACTCAACATGCGTGAGTGAATACTCACTGTTGTGCTGAAGTTAGTATATTTCTTAACCGCAACTTCGACATGTGTTTCATCCACTAGAGAGCGATTGTAATTTTTTATAAGATGTGTGAACTTTGAAGTTTCGAAATAGGTTTTAATTTTTAGATCTTCCGACGGAATAAAAAAATTACTCATTGACCCAGTTTTCTTTTTTGGTTTAGATGTATGATGAAAGTGTCTACCACAAAAATTTCTTACAGTTTAGAGAGCTCTTACGTGATGTTTTTTCTTCAAAAACTGAAAAATACTCCAAAAAAAATAGATCCGCTCCTAGGTCTAGCTCTGCGTTAATTTTGTTAACACTCCAATTAGAATTGGTAAATTTGGGTTCAGTTCTTAATTAATTTTTAATTTCTTTGTATCCAGCCTATTTTGTCTGGAGGTAACGAATACGCATGGGACGGAAAAGGTCAAGATCTTGCAACGGAATAGAAAACTAACTTTTTATCCCAGTTCTCTGTAATTGGGTCCGCTAATTTAGTTCTTACTATGAAAAAACTGTCATTCATGAAAGATCGTTAAAAATAGAGAGCTTGAAAGTGGTGTTTTGCTGCAGACATTCATTGAGGTCTTGCAGTTTTTAAGGAAATAGTTTTTGCGCCAGCCAGCAGCTAGTGTTTTAGTACGAACCTTCTTTTTTTCTAACTTAACTCGCGAATAAAAGTATTCGTTGAAAGTGTTCATTTCTGTGCCTTAATGCTATAATCACGGTCTGTAGAGTTACAAATTTCATTGTATGTTCTCGGCTTTACTTGTGGCTAGTGTTTGTGATGGACTAAGCATCCGTGGCTCAGATTTTGCTGTTTTTTGTCGTGTTATCGCTAGTGTATGGGAAGAGCATCTTCGTCTCTGCGTGAAATTGATTGTAGCTATTTCGAATTACCGTGTTTTATTTCATGCATGAGCTTGATTTTTTATATTTTTTATTTCAATTCAAATGCATTTGCTAAAAGGAAGACAGGTAACGCTAAAGGAAAGGGAATAATACTTCTCCTTTTTATCTAGATTTCACAAATTTGGTCACTTACAGCGAAGAAGTTTCAATTAGGGAAGATTTTTAAGTGCAAAGAATTTGAACGTGATCTATTTTTACTTCGAAAAATAATTGAGTTTCTTAAAAAATTGATTTTTTTCTTTCTTCCTGTTTTCATCGATTGTTTTCCATCTGTCCAATGGCTATGTTTTTGTATCTTATCGATTTTTGTTTCATTTTGTGTCGGCTAATCTAGTAATTACAGAATCGCTAGTAATGTTGTAAGTGTTGTCTTTGTAAAATTTTTCTGATCAGATAAAAACTTTGATGATTTGATTTAGAGTTCTCTCTAAGTTAACTTCAAACTAGTTTGCAAAAAGGAAAGTATAGTACGCTTTCCGTTTGACTTCGTTTTTTAAATTCATTTGCTTAATAGATACAAATTATGCTCTCCAATAGCAAAACGGCAGATGGAGCTAAAATTTGCGCTCCACTTTTATTTGCAAAATTGGTTTTAAAGTATTTTGATTTCGATATTTTTTAGATTTCTCGCAGTTTTCGAGATTCAGTGAAATAAAAGTATAATGCATTCATTAATCTCAAAAAGGTCAGCTTCAAGTGTCAGCTTCAAGATTTTTGCTATGACACTTGAGAGTTAGAAAAAGTCATCAGTGTTCTATTCATGAACATTTTCTCTCGTTTTTGTTTTTTTTCTAAGAGTCGATGAACGTAGTTCACACTCTCATATAGGTCGCGTTTTTTTCGTTTCAAAGGTCACGAAGGAGCAGATATATAGACTTTTAATTGGCTCGCGTCACTTAAAATATTTTGTAGACTCCAAGTTTTACTCAGTCAGTTTTTTTATCAGTAGCGTTATCGGTCATCTTTTTGCTTGTGTAGGCGAAGTGCAACTTCGCCTCTGTGTCAAAAAAATGCCAGTGTACCTGGCTTTTATTTTCGTCATTCAGAGTATCAGTGCCGTCAGTGCCTGCAATTTCTCAGACACTGTTGCGACACTGAATTTTGTCACAAGCACAAAAGTTGAAAAAGTTCCTAACAAGTGGGTTTTCTCAATTCGAAAATCAACTTCTAAGGAGTTAGAGATCCATATCCTTTTTTCCGCGCTTAAACCTATGTAAAACCTTCGTATCGATGAACCTCCTTCAGACTCTTATATGGGTCGCGATGATTTTTTTTTCGTTTTTTTCCAGGAAAAGTAATAAAGATGGTTCATGCTCAAATTTAATTTTCCGCTGTTTGGCATTCGATTTTTAGTAGTTCAGTTCAATTCCACTGTTAAAAGGAAGGCAAACTCCGCTATCGAACAGCAAATGTTTAATGGTCACGAAAAACTTGATCGACTTCTAGTTTCGTTATTAGAATTTCAATTTCAGCTTTCCCAGCAAAAAAAAAATATTATTGATCCAGTTTTCTCAAATTGGGTCAATTTTATCAAAAAACTGCCAATCATAATTTGTTTTGAAATTTCAGAGTGCTTTAAAAGCATCGGTTTTTATCTTTAAAATTCGAAAGTTGAGAGTTTTCTAGTTGTAGTTTTTTCTGTTTAATTGCGTTTTATGACTTTTTTCCAACTGTCTGTTTCTCATGTATGGGTTAATATTGTGTTTAATGATGTTATTTGGTTTCACCACCTCACTTTTGTTTTTCTTTTATTAATATTTGATTTTTTTGTTTTTAGTTACTTTTTTATTTCGATGTTTGGTGCGAAACTAATGTATCGTCTAATATGTTAATATGCCAGAAAATGCTTGTTATAATAATAAAAAAAATGTTCCTACTCAACATGCGTGAGTGAATACTCACTGTTGTGCTGAAGTTAGTATATTTCTTAACCGCAACTTCGACATGTGTTTCATCCACTAGAGAGCGATTGTAATTTTTTATAAGATGTGTGAACTTTGAAGTTTCGAAATAGGTTTTAATTTTTAGATCTTCCGACGGAATAAAAAAATTACTCATTGACCCAGTTTTCTTTTTTGGTTTAGATGTATGATGAAAGTGTCTACCACAAAAATTTCTTACAATTTAGAGAGCTCTTACGTGATGTTTTTTCTTCAAAAACTGAAAAATACTCCAAAAAAAATAGATCCGCTCCTAGGTCTAGCTCTGCGTTAATTTTGTTAACACTCCAATTAGAATTGGTAAATTTGGGTTCAGTTCTTAATTAATTTTTAATTTCTTTGTATCCAGCCTATTTTGTCTGGAGGTAACGAATACGCATGGGACGGAAAGGGTTCGAATGTGACAGGACCTTTTTTTCAAACGGTAATTATCTCGTTTCACAAAAAATTGTAGGCTCATTATTTGTCTTCTTATGTTTTGTTGTCATGGTTTAGTTGTCATATTGTAGAATTGTTTTTATTTACAGTTTTTATTACGTTATAGTTGCTATTAGTGTTCTGATTTACGTCTGATGTTTATAATTTTAGTAATATTGACTCGTATAATGACCGTCCAAAAAATTTCAATTGTCTGCCAAGAGACTTTTGATTATTTGTTTATGATCCCTCCGAGAGTTTCTTTACTATAATTTTGGATTACTTCATTTTAAAAAGTAGGTCAACTCGTATATTGTTGTAACAGGTTGCGTGGGAGAAGCGTGAGAACAGGGAGATGACGATGGATGAGCTGATGGAGTTGGATCCCCCGGAGGTCAAGGACCCCACCTTCGTTCTCTTCCTCTGGGCCATCCTCATGCACTATCACGTGAGGGCCTACTATTATGTAATCGGAATCTACGTAATGTCCAAAGAAAATAGTCACACCTGTGAGAGCAATTGTTTCACATCGGGAACTTAACTTTTTAATGAAGTCATTCTTTGCTGTTTTTTTTTTGTGGGTATAACGTGTTTCGGCTGAGTTTACTCGCTGTATTTGCGTTGTATTTGTAATAAACATTCATTTCGATATTTTAACTTGATAAATTTTCCCTAGCCCTTGTCTGAGACAAATCCTGATTACCTAAAGTTGCGATTAGCCAGGGTATTGTAACCGGGTAGGGTACTGAACTTTTTCCACCTTAAATAACCGTTCACAGGACTATCCCCTCCGACTACCAGCAAAACAGACCTATTCACCAACAGAAATATTTTGATCAGTTTTGCATCTTAAATACCCGCTCTGATCAAAGTGCGGGATCTTGTTAACTATTTCCCTTCCCCCTCCCCTGTGCATGTATTATTTTTGACAACCATTTCTGTATAAGATGCATTTCAAAAATGTCAACAATTAAGTGGGTTTTTCGCGCGTTCGTATTTGTATTACTCACTATTTTATATACCCACTTAAAAAGTTTTAAAGTTTTAAATATATATTTTCTGAAAATTGTTTTAAGCTATTGAAAATGTGGCCAAAGTTGAATTTCTGAAAATTGAAATAGGGGGGGGGGGGAATAGTAAGTAATTAGATCGAATTCGTGTTTTCTTCATTAACACTATCGTAAATGATATAAATGTCCCCTAGATAAAATTTTTGGCTGTTTAAGTCTCATGAACGTAGTGAAGAAAGTGACCGACTTCCAGTTTCCAAAGTGTACTTTCCAGCAGAGTAAAAACTTAAGCTATTGATCCAGTTTTCCCAAATTGGCTTAAAGATATCAAAAAAAGATGTTCGTAAATTGTTCTTGAGTTTTTATTTTGAAATTCGAAAGTTGAAGTTTTTTCCAAAACACTTATCTTTTTTTTTGGTTTCTGGCGTTCATTGACTCTTTTCCAATTGACTGTTTGCTATGTTTTAAAAGTCATTAGGGGTACTGGGGCATGTTGAGTGTTATGGCGGGATGAGCATGTTTCAGGAAATGGCGAAGATATTCTGGCGTTTTGGTGACAACTATCAGGCGAAGGCACTGATCGCAATGCGCATGTACACTACAATGGGAGAACAGTTCAGTAACATGGATCCAGAAGTACTGGAAGAATACATCCAGTTAGTAGTGCAATCACTCTTATTAAGTGGCAGTTAACGAATTGAAAATAAAGACTTAGTTGTGTCGTGTTTTTTTTGCTAAAAATTTTAAAGGGCCTATTTTATTTTTTCGTGCGGCTGATTTAAGTTCAATTCAACTTTTTTTTGCTCACCGATTAAAATGGCTGCAATAAAAATCGTGGATAACTCATACTTAAGTGGATTTTCATCTATCTACCAGCGGAATTAAAAACCTATTGATTTTTTTTCAAATTGGGTTAATTTTTGTGCGAATCGTAAATGCGTCTTGAAATTCGAAGTACATATCTTAAATATCTTTGTTCACGGGGTGACTGAAATTGGTGGTCATCTTTACACTTACAGAGCAAAGTGTAATAGTACGAACTTTCTTTTTTTCCAACCTAAGTCGCAAATAAAAGTGCTACATTTGGTGGCACTTTTGAATCGGTAGACTGCGGTTGAAGTGTAGTATCATTAGTGCTTTGACATTTGATTAGTGAAAAGTTAACACAGCTGATGCATTTTTAATTGATAAATTGAACCAAAAAGTTTATTTGTTTCAAACAGCAGTACAATGGTTAGACTTGCAAAGCTAGTGTATTAGTACGAACTTTTAGTGTTTAGTACGGATTTAGTAAGTAGCAAACACTGGTGCTGAACCTTTATGGTGCGGTACCCTAATAATAGAGGAACACCTTTACAGCTTTTTAATAGCATATGCTTTGATGTTCGAATAGTAATAAGTTAACACAGTTAATGCATTTTTCATTCATCAAATGAACCGAAAAAAGGGATTTGTTTCAAACAAAATAACAATAATTAAAACTGGGGTTCCAAAAATTTTCTAACTCAATATACTTTGCAATTTTTAGAAATGCATAAGTTATACATAATGTGGCTTTATGCTATCCGATTTGTTACATTCAAAGTTAGTGTGAACGCCTTCAGTTTGTTATATTCCAAATTATTACATGCAAAATTGAGTCTATTTGTATTTGGTGCCCCTTTTGCTGAATTGCATTGGCAAGTTATTAACATATGTAGCTGCTTTATTCCTGGCTACTGTTTGTCGGTTGTGACGCTTGCGTGGCTGAGTGGATAGTGCGTGAGATTCAAAATCTCTTAATTGCAGGTCACATATTCGAATCCTACACATAGACGAGTTTTTGATAATTCGAGGCTTATTTCTACTTTTTCTCATTTCGCTTGATGGAGCTGCTTTTTGGTCGTTTTCTCGCAAGTGTTTGCAAAGCGCAGCTTCGCCGCTGTGGAAAAAGCTCCATTTAGAAAATTTCCAACTCATTATATCTCGCTTTTTTGAAATGCATAATTTATACATAATTTGACTTTCTGCTTTCCAGTTTACATGCAAAAGTTCTTGGTGGCTAATTTTTGGGCATTTTAAGCATCCGGGACTGATTAGCTAATGCGTGTGACTCAAATTTGCTAGATCGCAGATTCGAAACCGAATTTTTGCAACTTCGAGGTCTACTTTCACTTTTTTAAATTTCATTTGATAGAGCTGCTTTTTGGTCGTGTTCTTGCAAGTGTTTGCGAAGCGCAGCTTTGCCTCTGTGTCAAATCTGCTTTTCGTCAATTGCAAGCATACTTTAAGCGTGTCTCAATTATGAATAACCGTTCTATTTGGAGTTTTTTCTAAGTTTCGATGAACGCAGTTCAGACACTTATATAGTTCTTGGTAGTTTTTTTTTCTCAGGAAAAAGATTTTATCACGCTCAATTTTGATTTTTTGAGGTTTGATTTTTGATTTTTCTTTAAGTTCAGTTCACTTCCTTTGTTAAAAGGAGGGCAAACTCCACTATTGAACAGCAAAAGTGTAAAGGTCACGAAAAAAGACATCGACTTCTAGTTTCGAAAATGAAGTAATTATAAGATTTCCCAGTGAAATGAAACTGTACCGACTAATCCAGCTTTCTCAAAATGGGTTATTTTTTTGAAAAGAGTTCCAATCATAAAATTTTCTTGAAAATCCAAAAATTTTGAAGGCCATCTTGTTTTATTTTAAAATTCGAAAGATGTTTTTTTTCTGTTTACTTACGTTCATTGACTCTTTTCCAAATGTCTATTGGCTATGTTTTGTGGCACCGCTATTGAACTGAAAATATTTGCAGGGACTTTTCTGATCTGGCTATGGAGTTGCTGCAGAGGTGCTACAAGGCCAACGAGAATGACTCCAGTCAGATGATAGTGTCCAATCTATCAAGTTGCAAGAGCCACTCCGTGTTGGGGTTGGCAGTTTTGGCGGAACACGAGGACTTCATAGCCCACGCCTCCTCCCAGACAGTTCTCAATGAGATATGGTCAGGTGGCATCAAGCAATGTGACGACATGACACTCAGGGTACGTCACGTGAGCCCTGTAATGACACAAGCGAAGCGATGTTTTAGTGTGATCGATTTTTTTTTCGAACGGAGTCGCGCATTTAATTGCTCGGCTACTCTAATAATTTAAAAAGAGCGGCTAATCCAATAATTTAAAAAGCGCGGTTAATCCAAAGGCTTGGGTTCGAATCTCGCTATCATCCAGTGTTAGTTTCCGAGACTTATCTTCTTGACATCTTTGAAACTTAATCTTGAAATTTTTGAAAGATTTTTTTTTTTGAAATCGGTCAAAGTTAATTTTAAAGTCTTTCAAATTTCATTTTTTTTGCAGTTTGCGAAACACAAATTTGTCACTTGTCAAATAGTACAATTAAGCAACTGAGGAGCCAAACTTTCTGGATAAATTAACTAATTAAGTTTTTCTTAGATTGGTGTAAATCATAGAGTTTTTTGGGTCTAAAAATGGACCTTCTCCCTAACCACCGGATGGCAAAAATTGTAAATACAATTTGATAAACTAGGCTTGGAAGGAAGTAAAATACTTCGTTTGACGGCGACTAACAATTTACGGTTTCTTGAATCATCTGTGTTTTTTGTTACGTTTCAGGTGCTTGTCTCTCTGTTTTTTCCGCCCTTGGCTCTCTTCTTGTTCGATTACGACACACTGGGAAATATCTTCGCGTCACAGCATGATCGTGTAAGTAACACGTTATGAAAAACGACTGAAATAGAAGGTGCAATTTGCAATTTGATCAACATACGGGATATTCACCTCTGTACAGAGAAATGCTGTTGTGTTTAGGGGCGGATCTAGGACTTTCCTTCGAGGAGGGGGGGAAGGAAGGGAAGGGAAGGGAAGGGAAGGGAAGGGAAGGGAGGTGAGGGGGGAGGGAGGGAGGGGAAATTTTCAAAAAAAATTCTTTTTTTAAGGTCGATCAAATTGATTTTCCGAGCTCTCCCAGATCACTAAAAAGGCCTTGTTTTGGCAAAATTTTTTTGCACCGCAGGCGAATTTTGAAAAACAGGCCAAAAAGGCGTTTTTAGAAAAATTTAAGGATCAGCCATCCAAAAATGGAGGTCTTATAATAGTACCAAAGAGGGAACTTTGGGTCTTTGGGTAGCCAGGGGGTCGAATCCCTGAGGGAGGGCGTCCGCTCCGCCCCCGCCCCTAAATTAGCTACTGGTTTTGTTCTTGATTAAGACTTATGTAGTTGATTTTGGTTGTTTTCCTTTGGCTGGGAAATGTTGCACAACACTTATGCAACCAGAAGTGTCCATGCCAGGTCTGGATTTTTTTACCGTAAGTCTAAGATGCGAAAACCCCTTCAATGGGCATTCCCGTATTTGGCACCCCTTAAATATATTAACAGTGCCCTATAGCTACTCTTTTTTTTCCAGGAGATTGGCTGGTTGCGGGTAAGCATATAGAAATATCTAAATTATAGTACAGCTTATGAGTCGTTTTTAGACTAATTTAACGAAAAATCCTAACTTAGCTACTAGACTAAGCAAGTAACCTGAGTTATTGCTTCAGAGAACCATAGCCTGTTTTCACCACAAACTCTGGTGTTCTTGATATTTTGCTAAAACTTCGTTTGAATGATTGAAATATAATTTTGACAGGTACTCTCAAGAACAGCTGTCAAAATTTTTAAAGGTTTTCAGAAGAAATTACATTTAAGACAATGTACAGCTGGTCGACAATTTTTTCTGATTTGTTTACCCGTTGTCGTTACTTAATTGTGATAGTAGGTAGCTACTTGTTAGGTTGAAAAGCCTGTTCTAGCTATCCTGATGCAGTGAGTGGTTACGTATGTATTTCTTCACTGTATCGAATAATTGAATTGAATTGAATATAACATCAACAAAAGAGTCTAAACATAGCAGGTCCAAAATCTGGT